CCGTCGTGCAGCGGTGGCGGGCGGCCAGGCCTGCCGGGGAGCGGCCTCCCCTTCGGCTGCTCCTCGGAGGTGCCTGCAGCGCTTGAGCCAGGGAGCTCCGGCCCCTGCGAGGCGGCGCCTGGGGTCCCTCCTGCAGGCAGCCGCTGGGGCTCCAGGGAACGCGGTGGAGCTGGTGCTCCCCTATGGGACAGGGGCAGGCGCGAGCCGGAGTCGTATTGCTTTAAAAAAATTTGTTTTGTTTTCTGATGGCCGTTGATGTTCGTGTGACTCCAGGAGCGGGGGTTCAAAGAACTGCTTCATGATGCCTCCCCTTCACACCACCGCTACCTCGCCTTCCCCAAGCTTTGTGTTTTAGTCTAGCTTCTTTTCCTGCCGAGTGCACATTGGTGGGTAGAAACAAGAAGGCAAGTCGTGAAGCGGGTGAAATCCTGTCAATTGAATGAGTGCTGTTGTTCAGGGAGCTCTGTTTTTCTCTGTGTGATTTCTGTGAGAGGTGTTATTTGGAGACACTGTCCTCCTTTCTCAAATTTCTTAGAAAACACCACCGCTGTAGAAATGCCTTATCTATACCTGCTGTTCTGATGGGGTTTTAATTCTAATTAGCTTTTGTTTTAATTATTATTAACTGACTTCCACAAAACGCGCAGCACCTTTGGTAAGCAACTGTTTGATTGAATGCATGTTTGTCTCATGCCAGTTGGCAGAAGCCAAACAAACTTATGCTTCTTCTCTCCTTTTTGTTGCAGCAAACCTTCCCCAGTGATGTGCATTGTGTTGAAGAAATTTTGAAGGTAGGTGCTCTTCTGAAAAAGCAAGCCTCTGTGTTTTCATGCATTAAAATGGCATGTGGGGAAAAAATTCCAGCTCTGCTTCTGTTCTGTCAGCTGATGCTACAGTTGTTAGAATCAGGTCTTTGGGTATGCTGCAGGGGAGAAGTGAAAATAACAAACAGTTTCAGAAATAGCTGAAGTTATAAGGCCTATCTATCCATCAGAACGTAAATATTGGATCTGGTAAGTCCGAGAGCAAGAGTGACAAGCCATCTGAGGCAGCAGAAGCAGCTGGAGTCGCTCCGTAGTCAAGTGAGCGTGTTGCCATTTTTGAATGCAGAGACTGTGCTTCCTTCAGAGAGGCTGGACTTACTGACCCATCCGTGCTGCCTGTTCCCACCAGTCCCGCGAAGGTGGCCGTGAACGTGAGCGCTCACCTGCGTGCTTCCCCCCCTTCAGCACACAGCGCTGTTGTTGGACTTCCCCTTTGCAGTAATTTCAGTCCCTTTCTACAAAACTAGTCCAGCTCCTTCAAAACTGCCGCTATAAACTTTGATGTGCGTTGGTTGGCTCCGTAAGGAATAGCACAGACTCCCAGTAGCTGGGTCAGAGCACATGGCACCAATGCACTGCACATGGTGTGAAAATGCACTTTTTTTCTTCAAGCCGGTTGAGCTGATACTGAGAAGAGTCCTTTGAGGTCAAGTATTACTTGGAAACACTGAAGTCTTCACTGAGGTGTTTGCTTCCGTGACTCGCTTCCCTCGATGTTCCTTTAGGTTGCAAAATGCCTTTATCGCTCTCGGAAGCGGTTGTTGTGGCAGCGTTTTAGCTGGAAGTAGTTGCGCACGTGTGTTCACCAGCAGGTGCCTGGCGATTAGCGTGCAGCAGGAACACTCCAGCCAGAAGTACTGCAGCCTTTCGTGTTTTATGGGGCATCCTGTTTTCTTGCCTGTTAGTAATGCATAATGCTGTTTTTATAGCATCGAAGAGGAAGGATGTACAACTGCCTGAAGAGGCATAGTGCACTATGTTTAAGAGTTTCTAGTCCATCCAAGAGATTGCACATCTATTAAGTGAACTGAAGAATGGGAGGGGAGAAAGGGGAAGACGAGGGTAATGACAACGTGACCAAATGGTTGCATAGCTTAGCTGTGATGAGAGGCTGTTGCTAGTTCTTGCATATAGAAATCCCTGTAGATTGCTCTAACGTGTAGAGCCAAAGGTAGCAACGTGGATTTTTTCCCCTGTAAATCTTCTGGGTTTATTTTATTCCTAAGTTCTTCCCTGAGTTGCTAATTGATAGGGGAAACTGGAGACACTTCTGAGCTTTCATAATTTTGCCCTGATGAAAAAACTGTGTAAATTATGACACAGTAGAGATTTTCACACTTCGGTGTATTTGGTGTAAGAGGTACAAAAAATGCACTTTGCACAGACAGCTTCTTTGTTAAGTTCTCTAAGCCCTCTACCAAGCCATGCCGTGCATGCTCATTGCGAGTTTTGTTCAACATCAGTGTAATTCCTAAATTGGTGAGGTCAGCAAAGTGTCATGTTCCCTTTTTTCTGGAAGATGGCGGGGAATGGTTGTGGTGGCAGCTATGCTGGGTGGTGAGTGCATGTGCTAAGTACAGAGGAGATTCTGGGCTGGGGAGGAAATCGGGACAAAGGTATTCCTGAAAAGGGAGTGAAGGTGGCAGGTCCTGTGAATTCATTTGATCCTCGAAGTGAGTATTACGCTCTTTTGGATTTAAAATTTGGGGATTAAGAGCCAAGAATTCATCCAGTGTGATTTTTACCAAGGTTCTTCTAACTTCCTTGGGGAAGTTGGGAAGCCCCAGCTTCCCTTGAGGCCTTGTCTAGATTAACCCCCAGTAAAGTGTACGTTCAAGACAAAGATCCTTGTCTGGGCTAGACTTTTCGAATACGTTCATTGCAGTGCAAAGCAAGATTTTAGCACGCTCTTCTAGGCTGGGCCATAGTGCCAGAAGAGGCAAGTTGGAAGTTCATCTTACCTGCTGAGCTATATCTCATGCCTCTGGTATTTGTGCCCTGCCTTCACTTGGACTGCGTCTGAGCCCAAGAAGTCAGTACCTGGTAGCGATGGTCGGTGAAAGTAAGGGGATGGAAAGAAGGCAAAAGGATTCCTAAAAAAGTGGTTTGTCAGACGGTCTCTTAGGTTCAAAACTATGTATTGGAACTGTGTCAAAGACATCTCCATTGGTCGCAGGCAAATCCTTGAAACTAGCCGATATTTTAGGTAGAATAATAGAGGGAATGGCACACAGTCAGAGCTCTCTGGCTGACCTCCTCGAGTTATGAAAGGCCTTGCAGAATATTATTGCTGTAATGCGATATAAGAACTTCCGTAACAGGAAAGTCCTGCGCTTTGAAAAACCCAAGAACTACTCATATATGGGCTTTATTTACTTTTCCCTGTATTAGCTATGATAGCTGTAATTCTGAGGCCTAGTCCTGCAAACTCTTAAAATAGATACTTAGCTTTATACAAGCTTCATTTGGATTTCTGTTACTTGGGCGATGCAAGAATACTTGCAGATGAGGGACAAGTAATTCTGTACTCACCGTGTTGGGACTGCTGTTTTGTCAAAGGAAAGCTTTTCAGTGCAGTACAGTCTTTTGTGTTTACTGTTGGGTCTGTAAGGGGTTTTTTTGGTAGATTCATATTAATCTTCTAAACGTAAAACTTCACCTGCATATATCAGTAAAAATATACCTCTTTTTTTCAAATTCTTTCCAGGAAATGACCCACTCATGGCCACCTCCTTTGACAGCTATTCATACACCTAGTACAGCAGAGCCCTCAAAATTTCCGTTTCCATCAAAGGTAAAAAAACAACAACAAAAAAAAAAAACTTCTTCGGGGCAAACCTTTTAAGATGTTAGAAGAGAGCTTTCTGGCTTTTGGACGTGTTTTCAGCTAGCTTGCCCTTTTTTCATAAGAAAAAGGCAGTTAGCAGAGATCATCTTTAGAAATGGGATAAATTAAAGCACAATGGGTCTCAAGTTATATAACTGCTGTTTGAAACCCTTTTTTTTACTGAGAAATTGGATCAAATTGTGCTTCTGAGTAATTATTTCCTGAGTGGGTTATATGGCAGTGCAGTTATCATTTACCCTTTTGATAAGTGAGGTTTAGAATTTTAGAGTTGTAACGTGTTTGAGGCAGAGGATTACTTACATATTTGTTAGGATTGTGGGCACCAAATTTAACGGCTTTTCAGAAACCTTTTAAGGAACTCATCTCTGCTGCAGTACCAAAAATATTTTCTTGTCAACACAAGTATCTGCCAAATGTATTAAACAGAAACGTTTGGCAGCTCTTTTTAAAATTTTATTTTTCTTCAAAAGTGAATATGCCACTAATATGCTACCAACATACTTTTAGTGGCAGCAGCAGCATGTATCATTTTATCCGTGTTGAACTATATCAGGCCATCTTAGACTCTTTGGCATTTCAAAGTCAAACTTTGACAAGGTAGACTTTTATTACAGTGAGTAACACGTTGAAAACAAATCATCGTTACGCAACCGTTAAAACAGAACAGGTTTCTTTTGTTCTCAATTTTCACTTTGTCCTTTTTTTTTTTTTTTTAAAGGAGTCCCAGCATGTTGGATCTGTAGCACAGAATCAGAGTAAGTAGAAATCCAAAGAAAAGTCACTGTTAGGTAAAAGAGTTCACAGATAGTTTTGTGAGCGTGTGTTGTATATTATATGTTGGGGAGAACATCAAATGTTTGAACTGATTAAGCAGCCAGGTTTCCTGTGCTTTATTGAAAAAGGATGACTTTGGATAGCACTTAAAAGATTGCGTATATTCATTAAATAGAAAGTAAGGCACCGGTTCA